GCCGTTTCATTAAGGGGTATTCAGCCATTGCAAAGCCTCTCAACGACCTGACCCGTGGCTATTCTTCCACAAGAAAGAACTTAAAAACCTCTGACTTAAAGGTCCCTCAGTTTGACTCAAACCAATTGTTCGGTTCTCGGTGGAGTCCTCAGTGTCAACTTGCTTTTACTATCTTGATTGAGAAACTTACTAGTGCACCCGTCCTTGGGTTCGCTGATCCTAAGCTCCCTTACATTCTGCATACGGATGCGAGCGCAGTTGGGCTGGGTGCAGCGCTTTATCAAGAACAAGACTCAAAGCTTAGGGCTATTGCTTTTGCATGCCGAGGACTCTCATCAAGTGAAAGTCATTATCCAGCTCATAAACTTGAGTTTTTAGCATTAAAGTGGAGCGTGACAGAAAAATTTCAGGATTATCTGTACGGTGCCAATTTTACTGCGGTTACCGACAGTAATCCTCTTACTTACATCCTGACATCAGCCAAGCTGGATGCAACTAGCCATCGGTGGTTGGCTGCGCTCTCCACGTTTTCTTTCAAGTTGCAATATAGAGCTGGACGACAGAATCTGGATGCGGATGCACTTTCCCGCCGACCACAGGAATACTCGCCCTGCGGCGAATCCGATCAAGAACTCCTCAATCAGTTCACCAGACAACATCTTTCCGATCCTGGCGATCCCTCAATTCCATCTGAGGTTGTCAATGCCATTTGCCAGAGTTGCCTCATCAGAGCGGAAGCAGCACGCCCTTGGATCGAGTCCCTGTCCATCATGGCAGATGTTCTTTCTGAGAATTATGTAGAAGATCCTGGGCTGCCTGTGGTTCCGACTCTGTCTCATCTTGAGCTCCGGGACAAACAGAGGGTTGACCCAAATCTCCGGGAAGTCATACACCAGTTGGAGACAGGTGAGAAAGTTTCTCCTACTGCCAGGGAGAGGCTGCCTGAGATCTCCTTGCTGTTGAGGGAGCTCAACAAGCTTAAACTGGTCGAAGGCATTCTTTATAGAACACGACAGGACAATGAACAGACTTCATATCAACTTGTTCTGCCTGAAGAACTCCGTTCCACTGTTCTGCAGAGTCTCCATGATGATATGGGTCATATGGGGATAGAGCGTACGTTAGATCTCGCTCGCACTCGCTTATATTGGCCTAAGATGTCTGCTGATGTAGAGCACAAGATAAAGACTTGTGGACGGTGCGTTCGTCGCAAAGCTCTTCCTGAGAGAGCCGCTCCTCTCATCAGTATTCGCACTTCCAGACCACTTGAACTTATCTGCATGGATTTTCTCAGCCTTGAGCCAGACACCAGCAACACCAAAGACATCCTCGTGTTAACAGACCACTTCACCAAATTCGCCTTAGCTTTTCCAACCCCAAATCAGAAGGCTAGGACAGTGGCCAAATGTCTGTGGGACAACTTTATAGTCTATTATGGGATACCAGAACGACTGCATACAGACCAAGGGCGGGACTTTGAGTCCAAACTGATCAAGGAATTATGTGAAGTGGCTGGAATTAAGAAGTGTCGGACTACACCATACCATCCGCGAGGAAATCCGGTAGAAAGATTCAACCGCACTCTGCTCAACATGTTGGGGACTCTGGGCGCAAACCAGAAAACGAAATGGAAAGACTTCGTCAAACCCTTGGTACATGCTTACAATTGTACAAGGAATGAGACTACAGGATATGCACCATACGAATTGATGTTTGGACGTTCTCCTCGTCTTCCGGTCGACCTGGCTTTTGGTTTACCGCTGAGTGGGAAAAAACACCAACCTCATTCACAGTATGTCCAAAATCTGAAGTCCCGGTTGAAAGAAAGCTACGATATTGCCTCGAAGAACGCCGCCAAAGCATCTGAAAAGAACAAGGTCCGCTTTGATCAAAGAGTCATCCCTTCCAAGTTGGAGCCTGGGGACCGAGTGCTTGTGCACAGTGTTCGATTGAGAGGTAAACACAAGCTTAGTGATAAGTGGGAGTAGGACATCTACGTTGTGGTGGATCAAGCTGGAGACCTACCAGTCTATACAGTGAAGCCAGAGCGTTGTGATAGTCCTAAACGTACTCTTCATAGAGATCTTTTATTACCGTGTGGTTTTCTCCCTGCTGTTGAAGAGCCGTCCATTGAGGCCAGTCTAGTCTCAAGGCCAAGAACGCGGCAGCAGTGTGAGATTCCTCCTGACTCTGAGGTCTCTGAAGAGGAAGACTCTTCACCTGAACCAACAGTTCTCGGTCTGGACTCAGATCCAATGAAGTTCACTGTGGAGAAGTTTTACAAAAGAGCTTCACCTCCAAGTGTTGCCAATGACAATATTTCTCCATCCATGACATCTGTGAGTGAACCAGCCGTTGTTGATCTAGGGTCAGAGAGTGAGCACTTACCTGAAGAAGAGACGTTACCTGTAACCCCTGATCACTTACCTGAAGCTGAAGAATCTGTAGCACCTATCGAAACTGACTTACCTGAACATCTACTAGAGTCTGAACTCGAGGAAGAAGAGTCTGTAGAGCTATCTGTGGAAAGAAACTTATCTTACTACTCACCTTATTCTGTCAGTCCCGAATTTGTCACAATTCCACTCACTGAAGACGCTGAAGAGTCTGTCGATCCTGAGACATCAGTCTCTAGTGTCTCTGAGCCCTTAAACTTTGATTTAACTCTTGATTCGGTAGAACCAGAACCCGTTCCAAGACGTTCTGTGCGTCAACGATTACCACCTAAAAGGTTGCAATACAGTTTGCTTGGTAATCCTCTGATATCTGTGGTTCAAACTCTTTTACACAATATATCAGACGCCTTAAATCCTGCGCCTACCACTAGTTCAGTTATTCATGTAGTTTAACATGCAACGGGACGTGCATGGGTTTAAGGGGGGAGGGTGTAACCCAGGTTAAAATCTGATAATCCTTTCAATGTATATTACAATATTATATATTATATAATATAATGTATATATATTTAATGTATTTGCGCGGAGTACGTGTGTGCCCGTGACCTAACGTAACCCCGGTCATGTGACTACTTGGCCAATCGCGTCTGAGAGCACGAGTGTTTAATCAGGCCGTAGCGTCTTCCTCATTCAGAGGTGTGGGGAAGTCGATCGACGGCTGTGGACAGGTTTGTGTTTTACAAACTTTTCACTCTTGTGATTGATTCATGCTTTCAAGTTAAGCATATTATTGTAACTCTTTAGAACAACTTACTGGCTGTAGGGAATCCGTCGCCGCCATCAGGTTATGTTTAAAGAGGAACTGGTGAGTAATCTGAATGAATGAGCTGTATGTTGGATGCTAATTGGTGGCACTGAACATTGATATTAGCATTGCCTGCTTTAAACTAATGTTTTGATTCATTGTATGTCGTTGTGAAGTCTGTTATTTTTATTTGGTTTACAAATGGATTTTTTTACTTTGTATTTAGTATGTTTATAGGCACTATGGTAATTAGGGTATAGTAATTTGTTTGAAGTTTGTGCCGGTAATGCAACTTCAATATTGTTTTTTGGTTGTGTTGATTTAATATTGCATTTAATGTTTATTATTTGTAGGTTGTACATTTATTGATTATTTTGTAAGGATCTAGATTTGGGTACACATGAGAATGGTATTTGAGTGTGGATTTAGCTAAAATGTAATGCAAACCTAGTTCCAATTCAGCTCTATTATTTACTGGTCCTGTTGTGTGCTATAGGCCAGGTTCTCTTACGAGAGTATCTCTCGTACTGCGTAATAGCTTAAGCTCGGGGAAAACCTCTTTTCCACGAGATATTGAAGCCAAAAATTATCCTTAATTTTTTATTAATGTAAAACGCTTTGCAGCAGCAAGCAGACACAGGCGATACAGCTCGCGCGCCTATTGGCTGCTCTTGCGGCAAATGCAGCAGCCTATCGAGAGAGACTCTGCATGACGTAATGACCAATGGGGGCAACTCGCGCCCATATCGTCACGTCCCGCCAGAAAGGGCGTGGTCTCACTCTATAAATATGCTCGTTAGGCTGGTACAAGCTGATTTTCATCTCTTCAGCGAAGCACACGCATCGCTGGATCCGGAGTGAAAAGCCACGCCGTCGAAGCAAGCTTTTCAGCGGGACGAGCTCTGGAGTCGCTGGCCTCGCCGCCTTCAACTGCCGTACCTGCTGCGCTTTCCGGCGTTCTATATCCTTTTATATCACTTTGTATCCTTACTCTGCTGAGAGTGTTTGCTCGCTTACTTGACGCGACTCACACTTCTCATCACAAAAGAGCTGCGTCTTTTTAAAGATGCCATCCTGTGGCTCGTGCCGCGCCCCACTCAGCGACGGGGACCGTCACGTCATCTGTGTGTCCTGCCTGGGTGAGGATCACGCGGCCATCGCGCTCGCTGACGGCGGATGCCCTCATTGCGAGCTTTTGCCTATGGTGACTCTGAGGACTCGCCTGGCATCATTCTCCGAGCCTTCACCACAGCCCGCCGTGGTGCCGCGCCGCAAGAAGCGCCGCGCCCAGCGCGCTCCCGAGCTCTCTCCAGCCCGCCAAAGCTCGCCGGTTCGCCCGCCAGCTTCGCTCGAGTCGCTCACTGACAGACAACGGCCGCCGCCTGCCGCCGCGTCCGTCCACAAGTTCGACGAACCCACCGAGGCGTGTTCTCTTCTGGCATCTGATAGCGAGGATTGGGCGAGCTCCGTGGACCTCCCCTCCGCTAGCGTTTCCCGCCAAACCACTGGTAAGAGAGCCGGCATTGAGACTGAGCTGATGCGTCTGCTCTCTCAGGCCGTGGAAAGCATCGGCCTCGACTGGGAGGCGCCCGCGCAACCGCCGCGCGAGTCGTCAGGGAAACGGGCCAGCATCAAGACCGCGAGCCCTAAAACCGCGGCTAGCTTTCTTTACGTTATAAGAAATCTACCCCGCCCCCCATGGGCGTGCGTCACCGGCAAATGAGAAAAGAGTGTGTTTTAGTCCCCGCCGAGGCCGGACTATTCTCCATTTCTCAAACATTTCTCAGCTCCTAGTGTGCTGACAAACTGCCTGGGAGCTCCTCCTCCCCTTCAATCAGTGGTGAACCAGGTGGAACAAATCTTCCAGGCAATCTGGGCGTGCTAGTAACTGGCTCTGTTGTTGTCTTTAAACCGCAGTGGAAGAAGCATTGATAGCACCACAAAATCAAGGAAACTTTATCTTTGTTATCAAAGTGATTGTGCAAGACCAAGCCCTCCACAAAACTGTGAAGGACAGCCGGTAAGCGCCATATTGGCCATGGTTGGCTAGATTGACTTAAGCAGTGAAGTGCTAATGATGCTCTGGGAAAACACAGACTCTAACTCTTGTTGACTTTGATGGGTCTTATTGCAGTGGTATTTATTACTTCAAATGTTGTTTGGTTTTATCAAACAAGTGGGGTATAGAGGAAAGTAAGAAAGCCAAATTCATTGTTTGACAAAGAATGTGATTGAAATGGTTAAAAGTAATTTAAACATTGTAGAAATCTTAATAAACCAAGTGGGGGGAAAGGGTATTTGGCTACAGATACTTGGTTAAAAGATAAGATACATTTTGAAAAGTAAAAAACTGATTTGTTTGGAATAACATATCTAGTTGTGTAGCTACAATGATACCTTATAATAATTCTTTACTAGGAAAATGCGGCTTAAAATTAATGATTAGAAAGTAAATTGAATTTTTTACTACTAAACATATTGTGTATTGCATTTGGCTAAAATGTGAATTTGGCTAAAAATGTACTGATTCTGATCATTTGATTTAAAATGATGGGTATTTATTTGGATAACATTTGTTTAAAAAATGGAAACCTTGTAACTTATAATGGCAATAATGTGTTTTAATGTGAATAGATTTGTTTATTTAATTTGGCTGTCAACTCAGATAATAACTTGTATTTTTCATCTCTCTTTTGAGGTTTTTCACCTGTTTACTGCGCACCAAAGAATGGTTAATAAAAGACAAACAACTGATCCCATGGCTGTTTATTGAGTGAAATCCAGTTAAGATCTTCATGTGGAGGGACTGTCCTTTTCAAGTGGGGAATTGCACAAGAAATAAGTCACAACTTGACAGTGAAAAACCGCTCTCAAGACTGGAGAAGGACCAGAAAAGTGAGACACGTGTCCATAGAGACAAATAAAGACGGTTCCCGCCCTGCTGTCGTGATTGAAATGGCTGATTCATTACTGTTGGAGCAGCTAAAGACCGCAAGGACATCAGCGAAGCGTCAGTTTTCCCGTCTGGCCAATAATGTGCTACGAATGCATACAATGATGTTAGAAGAGGAGCTCAGAGACATTTTTAAGAAGCTCACTGCAGAAGCTGATAAAGTCCTGGAAGCCAACAACGATGTAGAGGAGCAATGTATTGAAGAAAACTCTGATGCAGAGGAGTTGAGTGAGCAGCAAAAGAAGGACTTGGTCAAAACAGCTAATGAGTGTGAGAAGAAACTGCAAGAGCTAAAGGACCTCATACAAAAGACATTGTGGGCCAATTTCGGGGAATATGAACTGACACAAGCAATTACAACAGCAGAGTCGCAAGTAGAAAACGTGGGAGCTGTGGACCCAAGTAAAAGCCCAGATGGATATCTCTTCATGATCGAGCAACTAGAGAAACTTGTGAAGGCTGCGAAGGAAGTGCATAGGCATTGGAAGTGCTGGGTCCCCCCAGCGGAGCAACAACAGTTCCAGAGTCGTATCAAAGATCTTGAAACTATCCTGCCAAAACTCACAATAAGACAAGCTGAATTTATTGGGGCACACGTCAGAGAAGAAACCAGCAGATTAAGTACTACTTCAATCAGTCGTGTGACCACACCAGTAATTAAAGTGAAGCCAGCTGCCCTCCCAAAGTTTTCTGGTATCCGCCGAGAGTTTCACCGGTGGAAAAAGGATTGGGAAGCACTCCAGATGCAGGGAGAACCTACTGGATCCAAAGAGATTAAAAAGTACCAACTTCTCGACAGTGTGGATGAGAAGACAATACGAGACCTCCGCCTTACAACTTACACAACTGCTGAGGAGGTTTTCCGGGTTTTGGAGAACCGTTTTGGAAATAAGACAACTATAGCCCTTGAGATAGTAGAAGAGCTCCAAAAACTCCAAGCAGTTAAAGGTAATCAGCCTAGGAGGATTGTTGAGCTCATCCAATCTGTAGAAAAAGCCCTGGTCGATCTGAATGAGCTTGGCAGGACTGGTGCTATAAAAAACCCTCTTGTAACAAAAACAATAGAGAGTAAACTTCCTGATGGCCTTAAGAAGGAATGGCTTCTTCATGTAGCTGGCAAAGCTGATGAAGCTGAAGAAGACAAGCGTTTTGACTACCTCCTCAAGTTTCTTCAAGGTCAAGAAGCCATCTATGAGAAGTTGGACCAACTGAGAGAGGAGGAACCAAAGCCAAAACCTGAACCTCGACAAGCTCGAACCAGGACTTCCACCCAATTGAGCAACCAGGCTCAAGGATGTGTGGTCTGCGGAGACGGCAAGCATAAGAAGAGGATATACTTCTGCCAAAAGTTTCGCGCGCTTAAACTGTCAGAGAAAAGAGATGCTGTTAGGAAGCTGGGAGCCTGCAAAAAATGCCTGGAGATTCACAATGAAGGTGACTGTTGTAAATCAGAGTTTCTGTGCAGGAGGCCAGACTGCAGAGAACAGCGTGCTGCAGAACACCATTATTATCTGTGCCCGAGAGCTGATGCGTCCAAAGGGAATATCGTCCAGAGGTCCAACCACAACAGCAAAGTAGGAGGTGACACAAGAGAGTGTTACACCCAAGCCCAAGAAGAGTTCATCAAAAGCCTCTCACCTGAACTTGCAGGGAAGTGCCGCGATGCATTTTGTAACTCTATAGCCAGAACCTCTCTTGTATCTAACCAACCCAGTCTTCTAGCAGAGAATGGAATCGTGGAGTGGCCAGTCATCATGATGCTCTTAGAGGTCACGGCCAATGCAGGAGAAAAAGTTGGGACCTTGATCGACCTGGCATCCGATACAAATTACATAACTCATGATGCAGCTGATCGTTTGAACCTTAGAAGTGAAGCCATAACCCTTGTTGTCCACGGTGTGGGAGGAATGAAAGTTCAAGTTACCACAAAACGGTACCTCCTAAAGCTCCGGGTCCGCACAGAGCAAGGCAACTTCAGATCCCACCAACTCCTCTGCTATGGTTTGGATAGCATTGCAGATATCCACAAACATGTGACAGCCAAAAAACTCCAAAAGTTCTTTCCAGATGTCCCCCAAAATGAACTTGTGAGACCAAGACAGATACAGCTTTTGATAAGCCATAAGGAAGGGCGACTGGTCCCACAGAAAATACGCACCGTTGGGGACCTTGTACTATGGGATGGGCCATTGGGAAAGACAATTGCAGGGACACACCCTGGTTTGTTTGAAGAAGCTACAGTTACGGCACACCAGTCCAGAGCGCACTTTGCCAGGTCAATGAGAACAGCAGCATTGATGTATGAGGAACAAATTTGCGACAAACCTACCATCAAGTCTTTTTGTTCTGCTATTACCACTCGGGATTTTGTTGAGTGGTGGAGATGGGATAGCATTGGCGCCCCCTGCACCCCAAAATGCGGAGGATGTCGCTGCGGAAGTTGTCAACCTGGTGGCAAAGAGATGACTCTGGCTGAAGAAAGGGAGCTGGAAGTTGTAAAGAGTGGCCTGACTTATGTTGGTGCTGATGACCACAGTGATAGTCCACACTGGCATGCAAGATATCCATGGCTCATGGACCCATCTACATTGCCAAACAACAGAAAAGCAGTGGAGGCAACCTTCCTCAGAACAGAGAGACAGCTCGCCAAAGAACCGCAGTGGAAAAAAGCCTATGGTGCTCAAGTCCACGAAATGGTTGACCGCCGGGCTGCAAGGAAGCTGACCAAAGAGGATCTAACCAACTGGAATGGACCTGTCTGGTATATTAGTCATCTTATCGCACCCAACCCCCACTCTGTTACAACTCCGGTAAGACTTGTCTGGAACAGCAGTCAGAAGTACCAAGGCCAAAGTCTCAATGACTTTCTAATGAAAGGCCCTGATGTTCTCAACCCGATCCGGGCTGTCCTCCTAAAGTTCCGCCAAGGCTCCTTCGCCGCTCTAGGAGACGTCAGAAAAATGTACAATTCTGTGTGGCTCGAGGAGAGGGAAGTCCATCTACACCGGTTCTTGTGGCGTGATTCAGAGGGTGATGAGCTAGAACAGTACGCCATAACCAGAGTGAATATCGGGGACAAGCCAGCAGGTTGCATAGCACAACTTGCCATGAGGGAGACAGCTAACCTGCCTCAATTCAGCCACCTCACAGATGAATATCAAGTGTTACATGAGCACAGCTACGTCGATGACATCTTGACATCCCACATCTGCCGTGAAAGACTCGAAGTCATCACAAAGAATGTGGAGCTTATTCTAAAAGCAGGAGGGTTTGCACTGAAGCCTTGGGTCTTCTCAGGTCAAGGTAAAGGAGAAAGAGGAAAGGCATCGCCAAATATTGTTGTCCTGCCGAACCAGCTTAAGGAGGAAGACAACAAGGCGCTCGGTCTCGGCTACATCGTGGATGAAGACATGTTGCATGTCATGGTGAGGGTCAACTTCTCCAGGCGAAAGAAAAAGATGAGACTTGGGCAAGACTTGCTGCTAGAAGAAGTACAAGCACAGACACCAGACCCGCTGACAAGACGTGAACTGTTGAGTCAAGTTGCTGGTTTGTACGACCCAGTTGGCCTGACAACGCCAACAAAGCAAAAAGGGGCTATCTTAGTCCGAAGGGCATTCCAAGAGGCAAAACCAAAGTGCAGCATGGTCAAGGACACATGGGACCTTCCTCTGTCGGATGAGCTCCGCAAGGATGCAATTGGAATTTTTGAGGAGTACGTCCAGCTAAGCAAAGTAAGGTTCCCAAGAGCCCTTACTCCACCAAAGGCAAAAAGTCAAGAGCAAGAAGGTGCAAACAAGTAATGGCTGACCTACCTCCTGAAAGAGCCACGCCTGCAGCCCCGTTTGAGTTCACTACAGTCGACCTCTTTGGACCGTATCTTGTCAAAGATGACATCAAGAAACGGGTCTCAATGAAAGTGTGGGGTGTCGTCTTCAGCTGTATGGCCAGCAGGGCGATTCATGCAGACTTGGTCAACACAATGTCGACAGAGAGCTTCTTGATGGCTTACCAACGATTTACTGCAATAAGAGGGCACCCAAGAAAGATCTGGTCCGACCCGGGGACAAACTTTATCGGTGCTAAACCTGTTCTAAGAGAGTTGTACCAGTTCCTGGATGCTCAGAATAGAACTTCAATAGAAGAGATGTCGGCTCAAAAAGGTACCAAATGGGAGTGGACAATTCACCCTGCTGACTCACCTCACCGCAATGGGGCTGCTGAAGCCGCTGTCCGCATTCTCAAGAAGGCACTCCAGAGCCTGGGCAACAACACTGGCCTCAGCTACAGCGAGCTTCAGACAACACTACAACTTGCTGCAAACCTTGCCAACGAACGCCCAATAGACGCCAGGGTGCAGAGCCATGAAGAAAGCGTGCAGTATGTTACACCAAACACACTTCTCCTGGGCCGAGCCTCTCCAAGCGGTGAGGTCAGAACATTTGACTTTGCAAATTACCCTTACAAGAGACTCAGAGAGATGCAGAACCAGGTCAACAAGTTCTGGAGGTCTTGGAGCCAGCTTGCTGGCCCAAACTTATTTCTGAGAAGTAAATGGCACACTTTGCATCGCAATGTTGTTGTCGGAGATATTGTGTGGTTGTGCGACCAAAATGCAGTGAGGGGTCAATTCAAGCTAGGACGGGTGGTGAGCGTCAATCCAGATACTAAGGGCATTGTTCGAGACGTGAACGTCAAAGTGGTCCAAAGCTCCTGCCTTCCTGTCACAAAACCCGCACTAAACCGGCCATCGGCCAAAGTCCTGAAAGAAGCTACCCAAAGCACGGTTCTGCACAGAGATGTTCGACGCCTGGTTGTCTTGCTACCGGTTGAGGACCAAACTCGGAGCTGACCGGCAGTAAGCAGGTGCTGATTTACGATCTTTCCATCGGTTCCCGTAGGAAGATCGAGTGGGAGGTGTGCTGACAAACTGCCTGGGAGCTCCTCCTCCCCTTCAATCAGTGGTGAACCAGGTGGAACAAATCTTCCAGGCAATCTGGGCGTGCTAGTAACTGGCTCTGTTGTTGTCTTTAAACCGCAGTGGAAGAAGCATTGATAGCACCACAAAATCAAGGAAACTTTATCTTTGTTATCAAAGTGATTGTGCAAGACCAAGCCCTCCACAAAACTGTGAAGGACAGCCGGTAAGCGCCATATTGGCCATGGTTGGCTAGATTGACTTAAGCAGTGAAGTGCTAATGATGCTCTGGGAAAACACAGACTCTAACTCTTGTTGACTTTGATGGGTCTTATTGCAGTGGTATTTATTACTTCAAATGTTGTTTGGTTTTATCAAACAAGTGGGGTATAGAGGAAAGTAAGAAAGCCAAATTCATTGTTTGACAAAGAATGTGATTGAAATGGTTAAAAGTAATTTAAACATTGTAGAAATCTTAATAAACCAAGTGGGGGGAAAGGGTATTTGGCTACAGATACTTGGTTAAAAGATAAGATACATTTTGAAAAGTAAAAAACTGATTTGTTTGGAATAACATATCTAGTTGTGTAGCTACAATGATACCTTATAATAATTCTTTACTAGGAAAATGCGGCTTAAAATTAATGATTAGAAAGTAAATTGAATTTTTTACTACTAAACATATTTTGTATTGCATTTGGCTAAAATGTGAATTTGGCTAAAAATGTACTGATTCTGATCATTTGATTTAAAATGATGGGTATTTATTTGGATAACATTTGTTTAAAAAATGGAAACCTTGTAACTTATAATGGCAATAATGTGTTTTAATGTGAATAGATTTGTTTATTTAATTTGGCTGTCAACTCAGATAATAACTTGTATTTTTCATCTCTCTTTTGAGGTTTTTCACCTGTTTACTGCGCACCAAAGAATGGTTAATAAAAGACAAACAACTGATCCCATGGCTGTTTATTGAGTGAAATCCAGTTAAGATCTTCATGTGGAGGGACTGTCCTTTTCAAGTGGGGAATTGCACAAGAAATAAGTCACAACTTGACACCTAGTTTGAGCGGCTGAAAATGTCATTATTGCAGCAATGAGCCTGTTGTATAACACGCACACCTGCATACAAACGCCGACACACACAAAACTGTGATGACGCTCTCTTATCTGCTTGCGCTAATGTAGTTCTCCCTGTGGCCCAGTGGCGGAACCCGAAGCCTTCGCGCGAGAGACCCGTGTTTGATCCCGGCTCTCGCAGCAGATAAAAATTTAGTCTCGCCGCGGCCAGACTTCCACCGAAACTTTTCGCTCGTTCAGTTCCAGAAAATGCGACTGTTCCAGTGTATTTTGCAGTAAACAAGCTGGTACCACGGCCCGCTTGCCTGCACATAAAGGCCGTTTCCACGGCGACCCAGAAAAATCATGTAATCATTGTATTTCTGGTTCTCCGGCCACAGCCGATGGTGTTATAAGTGTAATAAAATGCTCACAGCCCAGTGTTCATTTCTACACACAAACACAGCCCGCCACGGTACAGGGCTCGCACAAATGAAATCGACGCATGTCAATTGTGCATTAAATGTAGTGAATGTGCCCACAACCCAGTGCCCACAAACACTACCACGGTTTCTGTAAAACGAAACCAACACAAGTCTTCCTAGCCTCCTAGGAAATCGACGGTGTTTCAGTCTCGCCGTGGCCAGACTTCCACTGAAATTTTCGCTCGTTCAGTTCCAGAAAATGTGACTGTTCCAGTGTATTTTGCAGTAAGCAAGCCAGTACCATGCCCGCTTGCCTGCACACAAATGCTGTTCCCACGGCGACCCAGATAAATCACATAAACGGTGTATTTTCTGGTATTCCGGCCACAGCCGATGGTGTTATGAGTGTATTGAAAATGCCCACAACCCAGGGCTCATTTCTACACACAAACACAGCCCGCAAAAATGCAGGGCTCGCACAAACAAAATCGCCTCATGTCGATTGTGCACTAAATGTAGTGAATGTGCCTACGTCTCAGTGCCCACAAACACTACACACCACATGTCCCACGGGTTCTGTACAAAACGAAACCAACACGCATTCAGTCAGCTCAGGCCGACGGTGTTTTTCAGTGCAGTAAATGTGCCCGCTGTCCTGCGCCCACATTCACTCACAGACATGTTAAGCCCCACGGGGCTCGCCCCGCTCTCTCTCCCTCAGCAAACTGCTATATGGGTTTTGAGCGCGGCCAGGCTGCCCGCCGTGATCGGCGCGCCCCCCGCCTCACACACTGTAAACACAGTGTCTGCGTTACAGCACGCCGGAGCTCCCTTGCCGTCACTATGTCTCGGCCAGAGCCCAGATCTCATTCTACCCCTAGCTATTCACGTGAAAGTGTGGGCACAGCTTCCTGGGGTATCAGAATGGGTGCTGAACACTATAAAAAGAGGCTATTCGCTACAGTTCGCTCGACGTCCCCGCCGTTATACGGCGCGCGTCGAGACGACGGTGAAAAACGAAGAATCTCATCTACTTCGAGCCGAGATAGCGAAACTACTGAGCAAAGGTGCTATAGAACCTTTATCTCAAGCTCAGAGTAAAGGGGGCCTACACAGCAGATATTTTCTGGTACCGAAAAAAGATGGAGGTCTCAGACCCATTTTAGATCTGCGACAGCTGAACAGAGCGCTTGTGAACGCCAGTTCAGAATGCTTACGACCAGGAAAATCCTCGCGCAAGTGCGCCACGGGGACTGGTTTATGTCAATAGATCTGAAAGACGCCTATTTCCAAATACAAATAGCGTCCCATCACAGGCGATTCTTGAGATTCGCTTTCGAGGGCCAGGCATATCAATACACAGTCTTGCCGTTCGGCCTGTCCCTAGCACCTCATACATTCACGAAGTGCATGGACGCGGCGCTCGCACCCCTGAGACTTCAGGGCATGCGAGTCCTGAACTACTTGGACGATTGGCTGATTCTAGCTCGATCACGATCGGAGCTCATAGAACACAGGGCCGCATTACTCGAGCACCTCGAGGAGCTGGGCCTCACAGTCAATTGGGCGAGGAGCTCACTGTCTCCTAGTCAGAAAATGTCCTTTCTGGGAACAGTGTTAGACTCGCTATCCATGACGGCACGCCTGTCACCAGAGCGCGGACTAAATATTCAGCGCGTCGCGAAATCCTTCCGCCACGGCTTGATAGTTCCGCTCAAAAGGTTTCAGAAAATGATGGGGCTGATGGCCTCAGCGGCCTCTGTACTCCAGTTGGGCTTGCTTCGCATGCGCCCACTGCAGATGTGGCTGAAAGCGCGGGTTCCACCCAGGGCATGGACAGCGGGTCTGTTTCGCCTCAGGGTCGACCTACAGTGTGTTTCAGCTCTGGAACCTTGGAAAATAACCGACTGGTATCAGTCAGGTGTGAGTCTGGGGACCGCTTCGAGTGTGAAGGTGGTGTCTACGGACGCCTCCACCTCGGGGTGGGGAGCGCTGCTCTAGGGGAGACCGCTAGCTGGCCTGTGGTCAGAACGGGAAAAGCTCCTTCACATAAACTGCTTGGAGATGATAGCAGTCTACAAAGCGCTACGGCGTTTTTGTCCCCAGGTAACAGGCCACCACGTCTTGGTCCGGTCGGACAACATGTCAGTGGTGGCATACATAAATTGCCAGGGCGGCGTCAGGTCACGAAACCTTCACAGGCTGACGGAACGCCTCCTGGTCTGGGCTCAGCACAACCTGCTCTCACTGAGAGCAGCGCACGTGCCTGGTCACCTGAATGTGGGACCAGACAGACTGTCCAGGAACAATGTTCCAGCAGGGGAGTGGTCGCTGCACCCGCAGACGGTCCAGCTGCTGTGGAGAACGTTCGGCAGAGCACAGGTGGACCTATTCGCGT